GAGCTCCGGGAAGGGGAGAGGCCAAGCGTGAGGAACACGGCTGGGAGGGGAGCTGGAGGACAAAAGGAAGCTGTCCTGATTCTCAAGCCAAGGTATAGCCGGGCGATGGCGGCGCACGCCTTAGAACCCGGTACTCAGGAGGCCAGAGGCAGGTGGGTCTCTGTGAGTTTGAGGCCAGCCTGGTCTACAGAGTGAGTTCCACGACAGCCAGGGCTTCACAGAAAAGCCCTGTCTCAAAAAGCCAAGCTGTATACAGTTACAGGCTTTTGAGAGGAACCCTCAGTAGAAGCCCATCATAGAAATTCAGAATGCTAGGTGACCCAGATAGGGAGAAATAGGAGAGGCCTTGGAGGGGAAGGAAGTGGGGTCAGGTGTGAGGCAGGGGGTGTCTAGGCTGGAGGAAGAGTGAAAGTCACCGAAAGATGAGGTTGGACACAGGCGCCACCAAAGACAAACAGCTAAAAGAACACGGCATCGACAGGGAGTTTGAGTGGCGTTGACCTAGAGAACAGGGCACTTGAGTTACTAGGCAACCGGTCAACAGCCTCAGGCAACACCCGCGCTGGGCCCTCCAGGGAATGTCATTTGCAGTTAATAGTGCCTGGGATGTGGGGAGATGGCCACAGGACCACAGATTGCCTAATGGGCAAGGGTTGACTTCCTGTGTTCTTATCTTCCTGTGGTGACAGAAAGTTGGGCATCATAAGGGGGATGAATGGGCTGTTGTGCAGAGCAAGGGGACACAGGAAATTCATAGGGTCTCAAGGCCCATCAGGAGAGGGAAGAAGAATGTGAGAACTTCTGTCCAAACTCAGTACAAGGCAAAGAAAGGAACAGATGCAAGCTAGGGGTGTGGCTCACTCAGCATTAGAGCTCCTGCCTAGAATCCCCCAGTGAGGAGCTGGGGTGTGGCTCAGTGGTATAGGACTTGCCTAGAATTTCCCAGTGAGGGGCTTGGGGGTTTGGCTCAGTGGTAGGACCAGGCCTAGAATCCCCCAGTGAAGACTGGGGTGTGGCTCAGTGGTAGAGCACCTGCCTAGAATCCCCCAGTGAGGGGCTGGGGTGTGAACTCAGTGGCAGAGCACCTGCCTAGAATCCCCCAGTGAGGGGCTGGGGTGTGAGCTCAGTGGTAGAGCACCTGCCTAGAATCCCCCAGTGAGGGGCTGGGGTGTGAGCTCAGTGGTAGAGCACCTGCCTAGAATCCCCCAGTGAGGACTTGGGTGTGGCTCAGTGGCAGAGCACCTGCCTAGAATCCCCCAGTGAGGGGCTGGGGTGTGAGCTCAGTGGCAGAGCATCTGCCTAGAATCCCCCAGTGAGGGGCTGGGGTGTGAGCTCAGTGGTAGAGCACCTACCTAGACTCCCAGTGAAGAGCTAAGTGCATGTCTCAGCCATAGAGTGCTGGCTTCACATGCAAGGCCCCGGCTTTCATCCTTGGCACTTCAACAAGAAAAAGCAGGTGTTGTCGAGCATACCTGTTACCCCGTAACTAAGGAGGCTTATACAGAAGGGTCAGAAGCTGAAGACTGGGAAGGGCCTGGCACTTCCTGATTCCAGGCTGGCCTAGAACTCACAGCGTAACCCAGTCTGCTCTCAAACATACAGCAGCCCTCCATGGTGCCCGGATGTCGGGTGTGCTCTGCCAGATACCTTGCTGGCACTGCCTGTTAAGGAAGTTCTTTGCATACACAGTGTGAGCAGATTCCCCATCACGTGATGACTCAACCATCAGCCCAAACCCCGCCCCCACTGTCCTGCAGTGTCCCATTACAGATAGCATCATGCTGGAGTACCACCGGTGAGGACCATGTCTTAGCCGAGGAAAAGGAGATAGCCGCAGACTGGTACCCTGCTCCCCAGGTGCTTGGCTGAGGTGATTAGGATGAGCAGGGAGGGTCGGAAGAGAGGAGGGTTCACTCAGCAGTGGGAAGAGCAGCATCAGAAGACGGGAAGCTGAGAAGACAGGCGGGTGGGTAATAAAGGAGGTGTGGCCATGGAGGGGAGGCAACGGGGGGGGGGAGGGGGGCCGCGGGAGAAGACGGAGCAGGAGGATGGCTCAGTCAGGAAAGTGTAAGCATGAAGGCTTGAGTTTGGTCACCAGAGCTCCCATTTAAAAAGCTGGGTGTGGTGTCACGTGACTGTAACCTCAACACGGGGGAGATGGGGGCGCAGCGGGGGTGGGACTCACTCACTGGTCGGTTAGCCTAGCCTACTTGGTGAGCTGCGTGCAAGCCAGTGAGAAACTCTCCAGAAAGGTAATAGTAGCCTGGCATAGTGGCACACACCTTTAATCCCAGCACTTGGGAGGCAGAGGCAGGCGGATCTCTGTGAGTTCGAGACCAGCCTGGTCTACAGAGCGAGTTCCAAGATAGCCAAAGCTACACAGAGAAACCCTTTCTAAGAAAAAAAAAAAAACCAAAAACAAAAACTAGTAGGGCTGGTGAGATGACTCAGTGAGGAAAAGGACTAGCCACCAAGCCTGAAAATCTGAGTTCAATCCCACATGATACAAAGACAAAGCCAACTCCCACAGATTGTCCTGAGAGCTCTATACACACAGGATGGCACACCCACACACTCACTATGTAAATGTTTAAAAAATATGTTAAGGTGAGTAGCATCACCCACCTTAATAACAACTAAGGTTGTTCTGGACTGTGCGCGCGCGCACACACACACACACACACATACACACACACACACACACACACACACATACACACACACACACATGCACGCACACACACACACACACACACACATACACACACACATGCACGCACGCACATACACGAAAAAGGAAAGGAAGGGAGACATAGTAATTCACACATGTAATCCTAGCCCTCAAAAAGCTGAAGCAGGGGAATTGCTGTAAGTTCCAAGCTATCCTAGGTCTGTGTGCAATCATGAACACCTAGCACCCAGGTATATTACGACCTTTGCCTGAAATGCCCTGTACTGGGGTTGGGGGTAAAGAGACAGGACATCACTGCAGTTTGCTGGCTGCCAGCTAACCAAAACAATACAAGCTCCAAGTTCCAGAGAGACCCTGTCACAAAGGAGTGAGAGGGAGAATGATAAAGGAAGACTCGCAACACCCTCCCCTGGCCTCTGACACATACATAGGCATATGCGTGTGTGTGTGCGTGTGTGTGCTCGCGCGCGCGCGCGCGTGCCTGTATGTGTGTGTGTGCGTGTGTGTGTGTGTGAGAGAGAGAGAGACAGAGAGAGAGAGAGAGAGACATACAAAACAGTAAAGGGAAGGAAACAGATCTCAATACTCTAGACCAGTGGTTCTCACCCTTCCCAGTGCTGAAACCCTTTAATATATTCCCTCATGTTGTGGTGACTCCAACCATAAAATTGTTTCATTGGCTTCTTCATAACCGTAATTTCGCTACTGTTACAAGTCATATTGTAAATGTCTAGTATACAGGATATCTGATATGTCGAGACCCACAAGTTGAGAACTGCTATCCTAGAGGGTCAGGTGGGGTGAAGCTCACAGACGCAGGGCCCCTGGTGACCAGTGAGAGCGACAGGTCCCTCTGTCTCCTCTGTCCTGAAGGTCCTCTCTGAGGCAGTCCGCACATTGAATTGAGATGGACATCCAACAGCTGGCTGGCCCCCGGGGACATGTCACTTCAACAGCTTATTTATACTTCGTGTCCGCAGAGGCCCTGGGAGCCGTGTGCTGGTGTTTATGCCCTCCATGCCAATGTGTCTGGTCTATTTCTGGAGTGTCCCTTACAGCCTTGAGGGTAGCTGGAGTAAGTGTCTTGCCCATTCTGGTATACCGGCTCTCTCAGGCAGCTGGGAGGCCCCATCCCTCCCGGCATGCACCTGTTTCAGCCATCTGGAAGCCGAGAGCTTCAGGGCTCTCTCTGAGGATGTGGGGGCACCTATGAAAGAACCCCAAAAGGATAATGATTGCCGGTTGAGAGGAGCCGGGTTAGTGTTACCCTTTGAGGCAGTTGTATATTGTGTTTGTCTAGACAATAGTTACAAGTTGGCCAGGTGGTGGTTTTTAATCCCAACACTTAGGAGGCAGAGGCAGATGGATCTCTGAGGCCAGCCTGGTCTACACAGAGAAACTCTGTCTCAAAAGAACAGTTACAAGTTAGCTATGGGACAGATATGGATAGAGATGGCTTGAACTGTGGCTAAGTCTGCCCACCTGAGCGCACGCGCGCATGCGCGCGCGCGCACACACACACACACACGGTGGAAGGGAGGGTTGACCTCTGACCTCCACGCGTGCGCACCGCAGCCTGCTCTGTGTGCGCAGACACTATGGATGAATAGGGAAGGAGCCGGATGGGGCGTTGAATGTGTGACTGGTGACTAATCAGGAAATCAATGAGACAAGGAATGTTTATCACCTGGCACCAAGACAGACATCTTCTTGAAGATTGGGTTTGTTGGTTGGTTGATTTCGGGATTTATTCATGTATTCAGTGTGCCTGTGTGAGGTTTATGCGCACCACATGGAGGTCAGAGGGAATTGGGTCTGCTGAGCTGGAGTTACAGGCAGAGCCGCCATCTCTTCAGGTCCTGGAAGATCAGATGTGTGACATGTAATTTACACATAGCAAACGTTGCTCTTTTAGCCAGTTGTGGTGGTGTACATCTGTAATCCCAGCCCTTAGTGGGCAGAGAACTAGGAGTTGCAGGTCAACATAGCTAACATGAGTGATGAATGAGTTGGAGGCCAGCCTGAGCTGTCCCTAAAAAAACAAAAAATTCACCCATTTTAGTGGACAGCTCTTTGAGTTTGATAGAGAATGTAGGATTTTGCAGCCGCCACTACATACTGGAGAGTACACAGGGGACCTGATGATGTAGCTCTGTGGTAAAACACCTGCCTAGAATCCCCCAGTGAGGGGCTGGGGTGTGACTCAGTGGTAGAGCACCTGCCTAGAATCCCCCAGTGAGGGGCTCATTTGTGACTCAGCAGGGGGCCTTCCCAGACTAACCAGATATTCCTGTGTCTTTCTGCTCAGGTGCAAGTTTTTCAGTCTGACAGAGACCCCTGAGGACTACACCATCATCGTAGATGAGGAGGGCTTCCTTGGTAAGTGTCTCCCCTCACAAATCGGGCCACCTGCCCACCTCCTTATTTCTTCTTCTATTTTCTTTGATGCTTTTTTTTTTAATGGGGGAAGGAAGGTATTTGGGATGTTGTTTTGTTGGAGATTTGGAGTTTGATGGTGATGGTTTTTTTTTTTACTTTTTATATTTATCGGTTTATTTTGTGTATATGTGCACATATATGCCAGAGCATGGGTGTGGAGGTCAGAGGGCAACCTAGCCTTCCACTACATGGATCCTAAGGGTTACGCTCAGATCCTCAGGCTTGGTGCCGGCATGCTTACCTGCTGAGCCATCTAGCTGGCCCTTGTTTGTTTGTTTGTTTGTTTGTTTGTTTTGAGATAAGGTCTCCCAATATAGCCCAGGCTAACCCAAACTTACCATCCTTCTCTGCAACCTCCCACATGATGGGATTATAGGAATGTGTCATCATACCTAATTTTCTTTACACTTTTCTTTCTTCTCTTTAATGTTTTTCATATAAAAGCCTCTTTATTTAGTTAGTGTACATTTGTTTGTGCCTAATACATGTATGTGTACCATGTGCATGCAGAAACCTGTGGAGGTCAGAAGAAGGTTCCAGATCCTCTGAAACTTGACTTACAGGCCAGCGTGAGCTACCATGGGGGTGCTGGGAACCAAAACCAGGTTCTATGCAAGAGTAGTAAGTGCCCTTAACTGCCGAGCTGTCTCTCTATCCTTATTTTTTTTTCCATTTTTTAAATTTAAATATCACTTGGTTACCATGAAATTTATCCTTTTGAGGGCTAAAAAGATGGCTCATTGGTTAAGAGCACAAGCTGAAATTCCAGAGGACCTGGGTTTGATTCTCAGCACCACATGGTGGCTCCCAATCATCTGTAACTCGAGTCGCAGAGGATCTGATGTCCTCTTCTAGTGTCCGAAGGCACCAGGCACACACACGGGGCACAGACAAACGTGCAGGCAAAACACCCATACGTATAAACTAATAAAATAATAGTTTTTTCCTCTATTTATGTTTTTATTTAAATTAGAAACATGCCTGCTTCACATGTTAATCCCAGCTCCCTCTCCCACCACTCCTCCCTTGTCCCTCCACCAGCCTCCCCAACCCCCCACCCAATCCCCACACCATTCCCCAGGGAGGGTGAGGCCCTCCTTGGAGGGATCTCCAGAGTCTGTCATTTCATCCAGGGCAGGGCCTAGGCCCTTCCCCATGTGTCCAGGCTGACAGAGCATCCCTCCATGTGATATGGGCTCCCAAAGTTCACTCATACGCCATGATAAACACTGATCTACTACCCAAGGCCCCAGTGATTTCTGTGGCCTCCCTGACACTACGTTCATGGAGTCTGGATCAGTCCCCTGTTGGCCTCTCAGCCATCAGTCTGGGGTTCAAGAGCTCCCCCTTGTCTGGTCAGCTGTCTTTGTGGGTTTCACCAGCATAGTTTTGACCCCTTTGCTCATCACTCCTCCATCTCTGTCACTGGGCTCCAGGAGTTCAGTTCAGTGTTTAGCTGTATCTGTCTCTGCTTCCATCAGACACTGGATGAAGATTCTAGAATGGCATGTAAAGTAGTCATCAATCTCATTATCAGGGAGGGGCTATTAATGTAGTCTTTCCGCTATTGCTTAGTTTGCCAGTTGGTGTCATCCTTGGAGATCTCTGGAAATCTCGCTAGTGTCAGATCTCTCCTCAAGCCTATAATGACTCCATCTATTATGGTATCTCTCATCCTTCTCTCCTTGATTCTTACCTCAACTCAACCTTCCTGCTCCCTCCCATGCTTTCTTCTCCCATCCTCTTATCCCCCTCTCTTTTTCCTGGTTCCCTCTCCCCTGCCCCCAGGTTCCCAATCTGCTCAGGAGATCTTGCCTCATTCCAATTTTTCAAAAAAATTAACCACCATTTTTTGAAGTGGAAGTGTAGCAGCAAGTTGACAGTCTCCAGTACCCAAGACTGGCTTTGGACTCTACATAGCTGAAGGTGTCCTTGAACTTCTGACCCTCCTTGTCTGTGCTTCTCAAGGGCTGACATGGCAGGTGTGCGTCCCCGCAGCTGGCTTATGCCTCACTTCAGGCAAAGCCCTCAATGTCATGTGTGCTAGGCCATGACTCTGCAGTATCCCTTAGTAGCTTTTTTTGGGGGAGGGGGGTTTAATCCCTTCAAAATGAAGCGTCGTACCTATCCGCAGTTACCACCTGTCCTCCCCCAAACCTGGTGCCTACTTCCTTGTTTGTAAAGCAGACTAGTGACAGGCCAGGCGTGGTGGCACATCCCTGTAATCTCTTTGGGGGTGGGGGGCAGGCAAGCAGATCTCTGTGAGCTCAGGGCTAGCTGGGTCTACATAGTGAGTTTTAGGCTAGCCAAGGCTACACAGCCTTGTTTTGTTGTCTCAGAAACAACAACAAAAATTGATGGCATGCGTAAGGCTTCGCTTAATTATTGAGTCATTTATTTTTGCAATTCTGGAGACGGTACTCAGTGCTTCACCCGAGGTAGGCATGCGCCGTACTGCTGAGCCACACCCCCAAACCCAGCGTCCAGCTGTATGTTGGCTTTCCAGGGGCCCTCTGCAAATGGAAATGCATTTATTCTGTTCTTTTTTTTTTTTTTTTTTTTTTTTTTTTGGTTTTTCGAGACAGGGTTTCTCTGTGGCTTTGGAGGATGTCCTGGAACTCACTTTGTAGACCAGGCTGGCCTTGAACTCACAGAGATCCGCCTGCCTCTGCCTCCCAAGCGCTGGGATTAAAGGCGTGCGCCACCAACGCCCGGCTGCATTTATTCTGTTCTTACAAGCACCTTATTGATGGCAGGGCAATGGGGAGCCACTGAACTTTCTCACAGGTGTTGGGGTTCTTTCTGGGGACATTAAGTGACAGACAGTCTTCAGAAGTCTGTGGCAAGAGACGGGGTTGGGGGTGAGGCTCAGGTCTGTAACCCCGGTGTCTGAGAGACTGAGATAGGAGGATCGATACTTCAGAACTAGCCCGAGTTACATTGGAAAGCCTGTGTTCAAGCACTGTCTTAGTCAGGGTTTCTATTGCCGTGAGGAGACCCCATGACCATGGCAGCTCTTATAAAGGAAAACATTTCACTGGGCTGGCTTACAGTTTAGTCCATTGTCGTCACGGTGGGGAGCATGGTGGCGTGTAGGCAGACATGGTGCTGAGAGTTCTACATCCTGATCGGCAGGCAGCAGAAACAACTGTGAGTCACACTGAGAATAGGAAACCTCAAAGCCCACCCCTCCACTGTGACACACTTCCTCCAACCTGGTCACACTTACGCCAACAAAGCCACACCTCCTAAGTGCCACTCCCTGTGGGGGCCATTTTCTTTCAATCCACTATAAGCACAAAGGACTGGGGATGTGACTCAGTAGTAGATCACCTGCCTAGAATCCCCCAGTGAGGGGCTGGGGTGTGCCTCAGTGGAAGAGCACCTGCCTAGAATCCCCCAGTGGGGGGCTGGGGTGTGCCTCAGTGGAAGAGCACCTGCCTAGAATCTCCCATTGAGGTGCTGGGGTGTGGCTCAATGGAAGAGCCCCTGCCTAGAGTCCCCCAGTGAGGGGATGGGGTGTGGCTCAGTGGTAGAGCCCCTGCCTAGAATCCCCCAGTGAGGGGCTGGGGTGTGACTCAGTGGTAGAGCACCTGCCTAGAATCCCCCAGTGAGGGGCTGGGGTATGCCTCAGTGGTAGAGCCCCTGCCTAGAATCCCCCAGTGAGGGGCTGGGGCGTGGCTCAGGGGTAGAGCCCCTGCCTAGAATCCCCCAGTGAGGGGCTGGGGTGTGGCTCAGTGGTAGAGCACCTGCCTAGAATCCCCCAGTGAGGGGCTGGAGTGTGGCTCAGGGGTAGAGCCCCTGCCTAGAATCCCCCAGTGAGGGGCTGGGGCGTGGCTCAGGGGTAGAGCCCCTGCCTAGAATCCCCCAGTGAGGGGCTGGGGTGTGGCTCAGTGGTAGAGCCCCTGCCTAGAATCCCCCAGTGAGGGGCTGGGGTGTGGCTCAGTGGTAGAGCTGTTGCCTACCATATTCAAAGCTCCAAATTCCATCCACAACAAGAGTATAAAATCATGACTTGGGATTTGGAAATGCCTCACCTGATAGTCCCTGAGCCTCCTGCATGGAAAACCATATATTCCAGGGATATCTGTCCTTGAAGAAAAAAAAAAATCAAACTTGTGTGTCTTGATTGAGATGGTATCTGCCATGCCACTGGCCAAACAGCCTTGCATTCAGCAGGAACCTTGGGATCATTCCAGTGGCCCGCAGAGTAAAGTTAATTGCCCATTTTACAGATGAAGAACCAGACATCCATCAACAGAGTAAATTCAAGCCTAGCCTGGGCTGCATGAGACCTTGTCTTTAGACTGGAGGAATGGGGGGATTTGAGAGCACTTGCTCTTGCAAAGGATCTGAGTTCAGTTCCCAGCATCCACATCAAACAGCTCACATCCATCTATAACTTCGGCTCCTGGGGATCTGACACCCTCTTCGGGACTCCATGGGCATCCCCACACACATGAACACAGACACATACATACATACATACATGCATGTACATACATACATACATACACACACACACATACATACATACATACATACATACATACATGAAATCTTTAAAAATACATAACTAGGTCTGTGATGTCATTGTCACTCTAATACCTAGGACATTAGCCACTGAACATGTGTGCATACAACCATACCAGAATCTTCCCCAAAATGGCTTAAGGCTGTGCTCCAAGGGCATGGCATTATCTGTTTTGTTGTGAAGTACATCACCGTGTAAGTGCCGAGTCACTTGCTGTTGTCTGGGCTTCCAGACTTGCCACCAGCAGAAGGTGTGGTTGACATCAGGGTGAGTGGTGACCATCTCACAGAGCTGCATTTCCAGAGACCCAGGTTCCCAGAAATCTCACACACACACACACACACACACACACACACACACACACACACACACACACACACACACACACACGCCCTGTCTGTTATTA